CAGGAAAGGTAGAAAACTTGAGATCATGTTGCAAAAATATGTTTGGTAGTGGAGCACAGCAAATAATTTCACAAGAAATTCAGCCTCTGCTGAGTGGGCTGGTTGATGATAGGGTGACTTGTTCATAAGGGTGCCATGAGTCAAAGTCAAACCAAGGGCAGATAATAACAACAAATGTTCATTCCAGTAGTATCATCAGTGCTTTGGGAATTTAGTCTAAGGCCAATCTGCTTTTCATGACCCCCAGAAAGGATTATACCTCAGGATTTCTCAAGTTTTGCTGCGTTACAGAGGCCAGGAATGCCTTTTGGGATCACTGAGTAGTGTTTTAATAGAGACTTCTTTATGCATGTCTTATCATTTTTGACAATTTTTGATCAATATGTAAACTGCTTTTAGTCCAAATGTCAACACTGTGGAAAGGATATGAAGTACTGAAAGTAAGAATCATAATATTTGAGGTTATTCTTATTGTACATGGCATTTTTGCATTGTTTGTTGAAATGAGTTACATTCTTATACTGGTTTTCTTGAAAGTATTGCTAAAATTTGAAAATAATTTTTAATTTAAAACAAATATTTTTTTAAAATACACCTAGATCTATAGTTACATGACTAGATTATAGGTGGGTAGATACAGTTCAAAACCAGGAGAGTCTCAGTTCAAATGATTCTGCAAACATAAAGGAAAAAAAGATGTGTTGTCCATCATGATATAAAACCATTTGGAAACAGGCATCAGCCTGTATAATTAGAAAGAACAACCAGCAACAGTTTTTTGGAAATAAATACCTCCAGAATATTTAAAAGACAAGAAGGTTCTGTTCGGGGAGAGACATCTGCTTTGCTGCTGTAACCAGAGAAAGCAGCAACAGAGATCTGAATCAGATAAGACCATGACTGCAGAGACAAATATCTAAGCGGACAAATTGTTCCCAAGTGGTTTCCTATTGAACTCTAAATAAACATTCAAAGTGCTCTTAGGCATTTAAACCCTCTGTTTCACCACTGCAATAGCGTTTCATGCATTTCATGTGTTCAATTTACATCACATGTGGCTTCTCAATTAACTGCTGGCTTTTAAAAATTATTCCTATATTTGTGAATGAATTGCTTTGCCTTCATTGGGGAGTGGGGAGGTTACATTGGAGAGGAGAAAACATTAGTAGGAGCACATATTAGTAGTGGCATATGTGCTTTCCCACATCCCCTTACCCTCTCCCCAAATTTGACCTGGGAGAGAGGACTTATTTTGTGCTTTGGAGAAATTTCCCTGTGCCCAAGTTGGAGTGAACACATGTTTCATGAGAGGAGAGTAACTAAAATGATCAAGGGTCTGGAGAACAAGCCCTATGAGGAGCAGCTTAAAGAACTAGGCATGTTTCGCCTGCAGAAGAGAAGGCAGAGAGGAGACATGATGGCCATGTATAAAGATGTAAGGGGAAGTCATAGGGAGGAGGGAGCAAGCTTGTTTTCTGCTGCCCTGGAGACTAGGACGCAGAACAATGGCTTCAAACTACAGGAAAGGAGATTCCACCTGAACATTAGGAAGAACTTCCTGACTGTGAGAGCCGTTTAGCAGTGGAACTCTCTCCCCGGAGTGTGGTGGAAGCTCCTTCTTAGGAGGCTTTTAAACAGAGGCTGGACGGCCATCTGTCAGGAGTGCTTCGAATATGATTTTCCTGCTTCTTGGCAGGGGGTTGGACAGGATGGCCTACAAGGTCTCTTCCCACTCTATGATTCTATGATTTTATGAAATCCTGAAATAATCACAGGGATGAGAGAAGACTTGGGCTCAATGAAAATTTTGTCTCTCCTTCAGTAAATTTAGTTGTTTCAAAGGAAAGCATTATCTGATCCCAGTTCCCACAGAAACTCCTTGTGGGAAAGTGACAAATGTATTTAAGGATTTTTTTTGTTTCACCGTCCACTCTTTCATTTCCCCACTTGTACAGCATACACCTCCCAAAAATAGTGTAAATTGAATTACAGACCACTATTCCTAGAAAGTGATGTTAGTGCCAAGCTAGTAATAGTAGGTGAAAGATTTACCAGCTATTCAAGAAAGGTATTAGAGAAGCCATAGAGTTGGAGAGAGAACTTCTTAAGGTGCCTGTTAATGTGAGTTTTATACCTGAATTCCCAAAGAAGGGTGTTTCGGGGATAACTGTTTTAGGAAGAAAAAAGTTCCTGGGGAAACTGAATGTATGGACACACCAAACAATTATTCTGCAACAAAAGGTTTACTAAAACCACCAAAATTCTGCTACTGAGTAGGAAAGTTCCTTCCATAAGGCTGTTATATGTCTGCACCTCTTAGGGTGGTTCCAGACAGCACTTTAACCCAAGTGCAGTCGCGTTTCTTAAACCCGATTGAGCCCAGGTTGAGTCCAGACACCTCCCCCCAACATCTGTGCTTTCCTGGTGGTATGTCTTCAGATGCCCTGAAAGACTTTCTGGCAGGGCACCAGGATACAAAACAACCCCTCTCCCCCCATAAAAGGGAAAAGAACTTACCCGGCCACCAATCCCCCTTCTCCAGAGCCCTCCTGGCATGTAGAAATGATGGGCCTGGAGAAGTGAGAGGGGGGGCAGGAGCAATTTTCTTCCTTCTCTCCCCCCCCTCCCCCAGCATGCCATTTCTATGTGCCAGGAGAGCTCCGGAGAAAGAAATGGCAGCCAGGTAAGTTATTTTCCTTTTTAAGGCTTTTCTGTGGGGTTGAGGAGGATGTTAGAGCCCTCTCGGACATTCCAGGCACACGGAGCCTGCAAAACGCAAGAGAGCTGTGCGGATAGCCCCCTCAGAATTTCGAGGAGTTTTGAGGGGGCAGTCCAGACACCGCCCACAGCTGGAAAGACTCGGGTCTCTCCATCTGACAAATTATTTTGGAACAAAGCAGGGTTTTCCTGTTTTGTCCCGAAAGCAGTTATTTTTACGTGGGATGTTGTTTGGACGCCCCACGTGAAAACATGGGAGGGTGTGCACTTTAGGAGCTGCCTCGAAGCACCTTTAGCCACCCATCTACTTTTACTCTTGATTTGTTTTTCAAATTAGACCTGCTGGCATCATTCATTCATTCCTCGAATGTTACTGTAAAGCCAGGGGCAAGGAGGCGGGAGTGGTTGAGAGAATGGTTAGAGTATTTCTTAACCAGGCCATTTCTCTCATTTGGGCATCATAAAGCAAGGCAAGCTAATGAGTGTAATTGCCAGTGAGTGCTGGCTGGAAGCCAACCCACCCCAGCAATAGGATATTCACAAGCTGGGCATTCAAGGGCAAGTGAAGACAATGGTTTATAATCCATTCATTCCCCACTGTACCCCCCCCCCCCCCCCCCCTCTTAAAGAAACCAGAGCCTGACTGAACCACATTTCCAATGGAAAGCGTTATTTGCAGGACCTGGTTTCAGCAAACAGGTGCATGATGAGGGCAGGGAACAAATAGCTATGTCTGCATCTGCTCTGGATCTGAAATGGTGATGATGTGTCGTAATGTGTGATAGTACAATGGTGGTAGAACCCCAGACACAACAAAAGCCCCAGTGAGTTGGCACAGCAGAGCAACTTCCCAGTGATGGCGATAAAGAAACAGAGCCCTTCACTGCTGCATTCCAGACTTAGCCCAGGATTAGAAATTGGGCAAGGAGGGTGGCGGGGGATAGGTTGACAAGGGATATGCAGACGGCTGAGGTTTTCTGCCAAGCTGAAGCACTGGCTTTTCATCTATAGGCAGAGGCCCTGGTCCAAATTTGTTGTAATCAACAGGTGCATTGTTTGTGAAATATTCTGCTAGAAGTCAATTGTTTTTCAAAAAGGTGGGGGAGGGGGAGGCAAAAAGCAACAGGAAGGAGGAGTAACATTAAAGCAGTGGGAAAGACTGGCAAATTAGCAGAGGAAGAGATGTACTTGACTTGGATCTAGAGATGTGCTGGATCTAATAATAGAGCAAGTAATCTCTGAGCAAAATCCCATGGGAAAGAGTCATTAAGGCCTGGCTGTCAAGGAAGTGAGAAATGGACCATGGTGGGGCTTGTGTGCAAGAGTGAAATTTTTTATCCTAATTATTCTTTCATCTCAAAAACATTATAGAGCTGTATAGAGTGTATTGAAAGAGTAGATACTGAGGAAGAGAAATAAATCTCTAGTAACATAATGTTTATTACTCAGAGGACTATGTAGCTGAGCATCTTTCAGAAACATATGGCCATAGCTGAACATTTTTCTATTTCATCCATCCTCAGTGACAAATCAAGAATTGCTTGAAATACACTTGTTCAAATGAATCTGTATGGAATTTTGTGCATGGAAATCATAAATAGAATTATTGAAATGCAGGAAAAAATAGGACACAGCATCCAATATGGAATGGAATGGTAGTGCAGTGTCCAAAAGTCATTACCTTTCAAATGTCGTTCATTATTTAAAGTGACTATTACTTTAAAACATGTAACACACCATCAATTAGATCAAGACTTATTAAAGCTTGAAAGAGACTTACTAAAATGGAACATATTTTCTTCAGTGATTCTACTATAAGGACAGCTAAGTCTGGTCCTAAACTGATAGAATTTCGCCCAAATGACAAAATGGGCACAACGTATTTCTCATTATCATGCTCTACCTTGTCAACATAGCGAGCTACAGAATACTATCAGCACTTCGTCAACGTGGGAATAGCCACAAAACATAGATTTCCATTAAGTCTTCTAAACAGCTCAGATGTATGTAGGGGAAGGGAGGTGTCTTATTCTGTTTCTTTTTTGTCCATTGTTTACAGTTCACTATATCTGATAATTGGTTTGGTCCTGCCAAACTTTCTCTGTTACATTTGTTGCATTATGTCCTACTCACTGTAATTCTGCATGACATCTCATCTTCAGGCATGAAATAGCGCCTGTTCTGCTATGTCCAAGTCTGTTCAAGCCTCTTCCCCAAATACACTGATCTATTAGGACAATCACTAGCAGCAACTTATCTGCTTTTGTCTCCTTTCTTTCCAGCTTGTAACTGCAATCTGCATGCCAGAAGGTGTCGCTTTAATATGGAACTCTACAAATTGTCTGGTCGCAAGAGTGGAGGTGTCTGCCTCAACTGCCGACACAACACAGCAGGTCGTCACTGCCACTACTGTAAGGAAGGCTATTATCGGGACATGACAAAGCCAATCACACATCGAAAAGCATGTAAAGGTATGTGTGTCTGGAAAGCAAAGGATAGAAAAGATACTATGTATCTGTTTATTATTTTCCTCCATGGCTCTACAACAGGTATTCTTCTTCTCCCAGAATTATTCAGTTCAGAGATTCATGTTCAAGAGTAAACGTGTCTGAAATTGCATCCACACTGACAATTATAGTACTTTGATTCCACTTTAGCTGCTGTGGCTCCATCTTATTGAGTCCTGGGATTTGTAGTTGAATGAGAAATTTAGGATGTTCTACTGCAGTCCCTTGAACTACAGTATTGGACCTCTTTGATAGAGAATTATAAATGTCTTACTTTTCAATATTTCATAACATGGGACCAGGACAATTGAAGTGGAATTGATAGAACTGATGCAATTGTATGTAACTGATATAATTTTATAGTGTGGATACAGATTTCCAGTCTGGCTTTCAGCCTAAATATATTCAAATTACATACTTTGTATCCAACCCTTTCTCCCTTTCCCATTTTTCTTCTTTTCTTTACAGACATACTCATGGAAGCAGTGGTTAAAAAACAAGGGAATACCAATAGAGCCAGACAGAAACATAGCAATCACTCCTCTCTAATGTCTGATTTGTCTCCTCACAGATATTTATGGTAAAGGAGCAAGATCTGGTATATCTGGTGATACTAACAGGAACTGGTTTTACATGTTATACTAATAGGAAATGAAGGTAAAGAAATGTGTTGCTTTTCTTCTGTATACATCCATCCATCAATTCATTTATCTGGCAGTATATGTATATTACAAACCTTGAAGAAAACGTTTCCAGTAAGTGTGGAGGTTTTCTCACTCAACCTTGCAGTCTGCATTTGCAAAATATTGAACCCCAAGCTATGGGCCAAACATCACAGGATCTGCCATCAGGAAGGAGAGTTCTGCAGATCGGATGAAAACACATGTTCTATAAGTTTAATTTTAAAGTATCTCTATATCCCCCTACTTTTCTTTCTTTGTGCTCTAGACCATATAGCAAAGGAGTCATTATGTCTTAGAGTTTATCCAGCTCAGAAGTCCTCCAAGTACAAGGTTAAAAGTCTTCAAGCATTGCTTAATTATTTTAAAATAAAATCATTTGTAAAGTTGAGGTGCTAATTAGTTTATAAAATGGCACTTTGCCGGGTCTTGTGCTTTGATGTGTAGAAGTGAATTCTGACGTTATGGGGCACTGAATGGTTACAGTGCTGGGAATCCTGGATCATGAGATTTCTCCCTGCCCTGCATGAAATACCCCCAAGTAGCCACAACTCTTGAGGAGGATTTATACTGTTCGGTTTTAAATAGCTATATGACTAACAATCCTATTAGTAGAAACCGCAGTTTTGGGCCAAGACTGTGCTCTCAATAATGGTCTCTTCTAGTTTCTCCTTTGTTTAGGAGCTGGAAAACTCCCAAGAGGTGGGAAAGAAGTAATAGCAGGCTGTGGTTAGGCACATGGAAGTGGGGCTTAAGTTGCTATTTTGAGAGTGATGAAGAATTGTACTGTATTATGTTCTTATTCCAACTATAGATGGCATTGAATTCAGTCTGAAGCAGTCAACTGTGCTGCTGTTTTAAACATCTTTTTTGGTCTGACTTCTCCTCTAAAATAAAAGCATTTCGGGAAAAACCTGTCTCATTACCCTTTTCTGCCCCAATTTCTGGCTATTGAACTGTGAGATAATTTGAACAGTAGCTGGAATTGATTCTCTCATCTCCCCATTGATTCTCTCCATCTCCTTGAGTGTGGAGAAGAGCAAACCACAGACCACACATTACAATACAGTCTGAGCCTTGCCACATGCACAATGGAGGACCTTCTTATAGAAACACCAGATGCACTCCAAGTGACCAGCTACTGGTCAAAGGACATTTAATATAATGCCAAGTTTTTTAAAATTTGTGTTTTTAAAAATACATTACAACTTTAGCCTTGGTTTGCTTCTGATACAATAAATAAATAAATCTCCCCATGCCAATCCTGGGTTCTTCAATTTTTTTCAGACCTCCCATCCTGTGGCAGTTTCTCAGTTTTGAAGCAACCTTTGAGAGCCATATAATCCACCAGTTTGAGACCTAGTGCTGATACTGTTTGGGAAAGAGATCTGGGCAGTTTACTTCTGAAAGCCCCGCTTGTCTGGACTGTGCACGCTGTCCATGAAACCATAATGCTCTCAGGACTTTTAAAAGAAAAAGGAGGAAAAAAAAGATCACAAGTTTGTTTTGTTCAACTTGTCACAGCTTATCAGCCTCCTTTCATCTTCTTCCCCACCCTATCCCCCTTCAAACACATAAGCACAGGAACACATACAGAAATGCTGAATGGCTTGGAGTCGCTATTCAGAACACGTGTGATTAGACAAGTAAAAACAAAGATGTGGAAAAGGGACTTCAGACATAAGGAAAGAAAGACAAAGGTGTGAATGAATTGGCAAGGTTATTCAGATCAGCACATGGGCCTCTCACATCAAAAACAAAGGCTCGCCTTCCTTCCCCTTCCCACAGGTGTGCATACCAGCAAACTCCGAGTGAAAGAAACAGCAGATTGTCTTGCTATACACATTCAACAGGCTTAGCATCTGAGGGGCAAAGGCCTTTACATTTGCAAATACACATAGACACAGATCTACTGTGCATACATACATAACACAGAGAAGCCGAAAGCATAAGTGTTTGGGTGTCTAAACAAAATAATCACAGCCTGAATGCTTTATTCATTGAATAGCTTATCAATGGATAGCAAGGGAAATCTTAGAAAAATAACAGACCATACCTTTCTTTCTACAAGTACCTGGCACGATGTACAACATAATAGTGCTGTCATCAATATAAAATACAACAATAGTAAGTAGCCTTTAACAGCAATAAAAAGTATAATACAACTAACTTATGAAAATAAACAAAATACAAACTGGGAAAAACAGAAAACATTAACTGTAGCAAGGGTTGAAAGATGGTTCATATTCAAACTGTCAGCAATAAAACTAGGTGTTAATATATTGAAAATCTGTCCAGTAAAATGCTCCATGTTTTCTACCTAGTTACCAAATGTCTTGAGATGGCACTTTCCATAAAAAAAAACCACATATAAACATACGTACCTGAGTCCTAAAAAAATGATTAGGTATCAATTTTGTTGCCTATGTTGTAAGTAGCAGAAGTTACTGTTATGGGTGGTGTATTGTCAGAGAAGGGATCAAATTTATGTCCTTTGTGTAAAGGTGGGTGTGTAAGGGTCACCCACCCACCTTTACACAATCTTACTGCAAATAAAAAACAAATATTTTCATGCTTTTATTTTCATAATCACCACCACCCACCCACACCAGTCTATCTGTAAGGACCAGAGCCACACTGTTCACTAGGGCAGTTATTTTCAAAGCTGCATATATCTCTCCTCCAGATTCTGGGGTTTTACATCATTTTTAATGCAATGGAGACATATAGGTTCCCTATCTGTCTCCTTTTAAAAAGTTCAGTCATCTCTCAAAACAAGTGCACTATTTCTTAGACTGAACCTTGTCAGACTTGAATATGTTTTTTTTTACCTTTGGCTGTTGTCCTTCTCCTTTCCAATCACAACAACAACAACAACAACAACAACAACAACAACAACATTATTTTTATACTCAGCCTCCATCTCCCCAAAGGGACTCGGGCGGCTTACATGGGGCCCATCTCAATGGAACAGTTAAAACATATATTAAAACACATGTTAACAAAATAATAACAAAAGCAATATAATGAAATAAAAACAACAACATTAAACAATATATAAAATGGACATCAGAACGAACAGCCAAAAGCAAAGTTCAGTGTCTCGGCGAGGGTGGGCGGATTGGTGCCACAACATTAGAGGATAGAACTAATTAGTAAAGTGCAAATATCATATAGCAGCGATGAGGACAAGAACTATTTATCATTAAGGATCAGATATAACAATCATAAAGTGCTTGAGGACAAGATTTTAAGGTCCTAACTGGGGCCAATTGTCCAGGGAACAGCCTAGTCGAAAGCACAGCAGATCATCCACGCCTTTAGGTCACTATTATCTAATACTTTTACTCAATTTGCATTTTCATCTATATCACTTTAAATACTCTTCATTTCCCTTCTCTGATCAGTCTACTTAATGCATTCTTTTCCACTGCTACATTTAAAACTTCCAAGTTTTTCCTTTTCCCCATTTTACTTTTTATCTGTACTTTACATTCACATTGGGACTATTTCCCAGAAGAATATTTTGTATGAATTTCTCACTCTGTATTTAACATATTTCTGCTGTCAGCCAACGGGATAAATTATGCAGTTTTTTAAAAAAGAAATTCTGTGTGTGCTTCAATTATAGTAAAAAAAAAAATCTAAAGTTGAATCCCTTTTCGTATATGAGATGCAAACTCTGCTGAGTCCTGGTGAAAGCACAATAGTTTATATAAGAAAATGTCATCCTCAGTAAAGTTAAGGATGCAATTTTCTGCCTTAATAGTGGTGTAATGTGAAAGTCCATAGGGAAAGAGTAGTGGGGATGCTGGCAGGTGGGGGTCCAGGTAAATGAGTAAGCCAATTGCTTTGCCTAGCTAGAGAGGGAATGAGTAAGAAGGAACTTTGTTCACTGGGAACTCCTCTGAGACTCCTCTTCCCCAGGGTCACAGCTTTCAGCAAACGTTGCTTTTGCATATGAAATATTGCATTTGGAACCATGAAGTGCAAAACTGAAAGATGAGCTCCTCAGGATGATGGCAATAGAAGCCAAATTTTGAAATTTGTGGAATAATTGAAGCCATGTACAGTGATCCTGTTTATGTTCTCTAAACTCTGCCCTTTTGCAAAGGCTAGAGCTTGTATTTCAGCTAAGAGAGTGTCTGTGGGAGGCAGATGCATTGTGCACCCACCTCATTCATCTGATAAAAAGGAAACATGCCCAACTAATGTGGGCCACTCAGAACAGCCTGGAGCTTTTGAATTCTCTGGGATTTCAGCTGCAGGGGGCAGTGGGGTTGG